CACAGCATAGGTAGATGTATTAGACCATAATTTATGTTTTATGTTTTTAAAAAAGAAACTTTTCAGCAGTAGAAAATAAGTAATGAATGGTTATTAGTTATTAAAGACTCATAGTGATGATTAGGTGATGATATGTCTCTTTTCTTGTGTTGTAGCTGTCTCATATGACAGGCTGCACGACACAAGTATACCTTGAATACATCCAGAGAAACCTCCCTGAAGGTGTAGCCATGGAGGTGTCAAAGGTAAGTTACTGCTTCGTACACCAGCTCAATTTAACTGTGCATTCAAAAGGCTTGAATTAATGGATTTCCCCCCCACGTTTTGTTCATGTTATTATCAGACTGCCATAGAGAAAGTTCCAGATCACATCCATGAACCCATGTGGAAGGACCATCCCATTGATGACAAGCCCGGCCAGTGAATTATGTTGGATAAATGAGAAAAACTGCACATATCTTAACATGTGTTTCTTGTGGACTAGATTAGGGTAGTGTTTGGGTGTTCTATACATTTTTGGGACCTGGCGGTTTCTTTTGTTTGTGGGAACTTTTTGGTCGCTGTTTCAATTTCCATTAAACTGCTGCGAATCAAAGGGGTGACTTGCAAAGGGCTGCCGTTTTTCATTAATCATTAATTTGTTGGGAAAAACTTTCATTTAAATATCGGATTAAAATAAAATTAACTCATAATTAGGTCGACAATTTTCTGGCTCATAGTTGCAATTCGTTGCTTTTTTTCTTTTAAGGCCTGACTGCTTCTAAGGAATGGGGATATTTAAATGTAAAAGCATGGGATTATGTAGAATCAACACAAAGGAAGTATTTTAATTTTCAAGGTACTCCTGTTTTCCTCAACATTTTAGGTGCGCTGTGGATGCCAGACTAATTGTCAGTCCAATGGTCCCCTGTAGCAACGTCTTTGCTTTGCTCAAGCATGTTCATCCTCTCCGGTGCCTCTCGCCCTCGGTACAACAGGCACGATGGTTCCTCTCAAGGGTGGATTATAAGAGGGATTCTCCGATTCAGTTCCATATGATCTCTTCAATCCATCGTTTCGACTTTGCTTCAACAATTGGTGGCAGTCAAGGTCAAGTTTCATTAGTTACTTCGCACACTTACAGGTTTCATATTCGCTCACGAGTACACACTCCTGCAATGTAGATTGGTGGAGGCCAGTAGAGACAGTTTCAGGTAGGGTGGTGTAGAGGTTCCGTAGGGGATGCCCAACTAAAAGTTTTCCTAGTTGATAGTAGTCGTTAGATAAAGCCAACAGATCGACTCACCTTGTCAGACATTAGTGCATGATAGAATTAAGTTTAACAAACTAAAATATATTTCAAACGGTGCCTGTTATAGGAAAATGAATACACAGAAAAAAGCGGGTAATAACTGCCGGAAACCAGAAAGAGACTAAAAATCTTTACTACTAGTGTTTATAACACGCAGTATAACGTAACGAGTCTCGTTGTTCAAAGCAGCGTGGTAAGGTGACTCGCTGGTTACTCAGAAGTGATAATCGGTCACGTGTTGCAACAAATTCCCTGATATTTTTCATCCTCGGTGCAGGCTACGGAATGGATTGTTGAGTTGTTTTTGTTTTTGTGAACTATCCGGGACTATATGACAAAGTGCGTCGATCTAAGACCTTTTCAGTTGAACTAATGGGATAAGTCGACTACTATGGGGCTTAGTGTTTTTGCTTCTGGGTGGATATGCACAGTACGTTTATCGCTCTGTGGTAAAGAAATTCTAGATTAGATTTTGCAACTGCAGATTACTTAGGTTTTTTCCAAATGCTCCAGCGGGGAACTTTGTTCAAAGTAACATTTCAAAACAAAACCATCCTGGGTTAACAGATGGATGGAGGACAAGGTGTAGGTCAGCCAGTCACAGGAAGAAAAACAAAACACGCTGCATAAGAGTGTTTTATCATTCTAATAAGTATTTCTAATGAATTGCAAAAAATAACACGTGGGATTGCTACTTTGGCCTACACAATGGCAGAACACAGAAACACACAGAGCGTGCTTTGTTTGAAGCTACAGAGGGAAAAGTGCACTGAGAGTGGCAATATGGATCCCGGGATAGCTTTCTATATTCTCGAGTACTTTTTCAACACTGGATCAGAAAAACAAGCAAATACATGTATTCTGCCCTTTCACGCTTTAAGGCCAGTCGGCTAAGTAGGGGCAAACAGAAGAGACACAGCATTTTTCAAAAGGATCC